ACCATCATGCGGATCAAGGTAACATTATTCAAACTATCAACCCTATATCCGTCCAGTGGACGCTAGTGGCTAGTTTACTGTGAACTCCATGTTAGTACGGTGGACGCTAGTGGCTAGTTTACTGTGAACTCCATATTAGTACCGTGGACGCTAGTGGCTAGCTTACTGTGAACTTCATATTAGTCCCGTGGACGCTTGTGGCTAGTTTACTGTGAACTCCATGTTAGTACGGTGGACGCTAGTGGCTAGTTTACTGTGAACTCCATATTAGTACGGTGGACGCTAGTGGTTAGCTTACTGTGAACTTCATATTAGTACCGTGGACGCTAGTGGCTAGTTTACTGTGAACTTCATATTAGTACCGTGGACGCTAGTGGCTAGTTTACTGTGAACTCCATGTTAGTACAGTGGACGCTAGTGGCTAGTTTACTGTGAACTCCATGTTAGTACGGTGGACGCTAGTGGCTAGTTTACTGTGAACTTCATATTAGTCCCGTGGACGCTAGTGGCTAGTTTACTGTGAACTCCATGTTAGTACGGTGGACGCTAGTGGCTAGTTTACTGTGAACTCCATATTAGTACGGTGGACGCCAGTGGTTAGCTTACTGTGAACTTCATATTAGTACCGTGGACGCTAGTGGCTAGTTTACTGTGAACTTCATATTAGTACCGTGGATGCTAGTGGCTAGTTTACTGTGAACTCCATGTTAGTACAGTGGACGCTAGTGGCTAGTTTACTGTGAACTCCATGTTAGTACGGTGGACGCTAGTGGCTAGTTTACTGTGAACTTCATATTAGTACCGTGGACGCTAGTGGCTAGTTTACTGTGAACTCCATATTAGTACCGTGGACGCTAGTGGCTAGTTTACTGTGAACTTCATATTAGTACCGTGGACGCTAGTGGCTAGTTTACTGTGAACTCCATATTAGTACCGTGGACGCTAGTGGCTAGCTTACTGTGAACTCCATATTAGTACCGTGGACGCTAGTGGCTAGCTTACTGTGAACTTCATATTAGTACCGTGGACGCTAGTGGCTAGTTTACTGTGAACTTCATATTAGTACCGTGGACGCTAGTGGCTAGTTTACTGTGAACTTCATATTAGTACCGTGGACGCTAGTGGCTAGTTTACTGTGAACTCCATGTTAGTACAGTGGACGCTAGTGCTAGTTTACTGTGAACTCCATGTTAGTACGGTGGACGCTAGTGGCTAGTTTACTGTGAACTCCATATTAGTACCGTGGACGCTAGTGGCTAGCTTACTGTGAACTTCATATTAGTCCCGTGGACGCTAGTGGCTAGTTTACTGTGAACTCCATATTAGTACCGTGGACGCTAGTGGCTAGCTTACTATGAACTCCATATTAGTACCGTGGACGCTAGTGGCTAGTTTTACTGTGAACTTCATATTAGTACCGTGGACGCTAGTGGCTAGCTTACTATGAACTCCATATTAGTACCGTGGACGCTAGTGGCTAGCTTACTGTGAACTTCATATTAGTACCGTGGACGCTAGTGGCTAGTTTACTGTGAACTCCATATTAGTACCGTGGACGCTAGTGGCTAGTTTACTGTGAACTCCATATTAGTACCGTGGACGCTAGTGGCTAGCTTACTGTGAACTTCATATTAGTACCGTGGACGCTAGTGGCTAGTTTACTGTGAACTTCATATTAGTACCGTGGACGCTAGTGGCTAGTTTACTGTGAACTTCATATTAGTACCGTGGACGCTAGTGGCTAGTTTACTGTGAACTCCATGTTAGTACAGTGGACGCTAGTGGCTAGTTTACTGTGAACTCCATGTTAGTACGGTGGACGCTAGTGGCTAGTTTACTGTGAACTCCATATTAGTACCGTGGACGCTAGTGGCTAGCTTACTGTGAACTTCATATTAGTCCCGTGGACGCTAGTGGCTAGTTTACTGTGAACTCCATATTAGTACCGTGGACGCTAGTGGCTAGCTTACTATGAACTCCATATTAGTACCGTGGACGCTAGTGGCTAGTTTACTGTGAACTTCATATTAGTACCGTGGACGCTAGTGGCTAGCTTACTATGAACTCCATATTAGTACCGTGGACGCTAGTGGCTAGCTTACTGTGAACTTCATATTAGTACCGTGGACGCTAGTGGCTAGTTTACTGTGAACTCCATATTAGTACCGTGGACGCTAGTGGCTAGTTTACTGTGAACTCCATATTAGTACGGTGGACGCTAGTGGTTAGCTTACTGTGAACTCCATAATAGTCCCGTGGACGCTAGTGGCTAGTTTACTGTGAACCCTATATTAGTACCGTGGACGCTAGTGGCTAGTTTACTGTGAACTCAATATTAGTACCGTGGACGCTAGTGGCTAGTTTACTGTGAACCCCATATTAGTACCGTGGACGCTAGTGGCTAGTTTACTGTGAACCCCATATTAGTACCGTGGACGCTAGTGGCTAGTTTACTGTGAACCCCATATTAGTACCGTGGACGCTAGTGGCTAGAAAGAAA